TGAAGTAAAGCGAAACAGGAAGTAATTTGATATGAAAGCTGAACTAAATCGTAAGTTTTGAATGTGTGCAGTGCACACCCCGGGAGGAACAAGCACGTCATCACAACACTGTGAGTAGTAGTACGCTTCATGTATAGCTAATGAATTAGCATTCTATTAACGCATGACTATTATGTATGTAACTGTATGAATGAAGTCAAGCATGAAAAGTGAAGTCAAGCATGAAAAGAAATAAAGAAAAGAATGAAATACTTTCACATGACTCTAAGTGTTTGTAAGACTCGAGACCTATGGCCATTCCGTATAAGTTGTTATGATATGGAACAGAGTGCTACACGGAACTAAGTGCTACGAAGTGAGTCACCTCTAAAATCCGTGTGAGACACCTCTTCAGTTCATACAAGCATGTTCAAGGGCTTAATGCCAAATGATTCAAGGGCTTAATGCCAACGTATCCATGGGCCTCGTGCCACTATGTACAAGGGCTTAATACCAACTTATCCAAGGACCTCGTGCCACTATGTTCAAGGGCTTAACGCCACCATGTTTAAGGGCTTTGTGCCACTACGTTTAAAGGCTTATAGCCATCATGCCTCAAGATACTATCTTTCAAGCCATTACGTTTCAAGAATGGGCCTAAGCCCGTTATGAAATTAGTACAGAATCAGACTAACTGTGTGTGCATCTTCTTATACTTTGATGTATTATATTTCAAGTTAAGCATCATTTTATTTAAGTGTTGCTATTCATTGAGCCTGGCTTACTCTGTGTTATGTCTGTTTCCATAGGTAACCAACCAGGTGGTCAGTCCTAGCCATAACACCCATTTTCTTTTGTTAACCTTCGTGTGTCCAGGAACTTTACAAGGCTACTTATTTTGTGAAGTTCGTTAGGATGATTGGCCTACTTTTTGATTGCCTATCTAAGGTTGAATGTATACAACTTCAATGGTTTTTGTATATGCCCAATTATAGGCTGGGACAGTATATCTGTTCGTATATAACCGATGCTCCGTGATATAGTTTAGGACTTTATCTATCTACTATGATGCGTGTGTTGTATGAGATCCTGGCATGTAGAAGTAGCTCAATGGAGTTTATATGTATCATTATTTTCATATTAGGTGCTTCCGATAAGGCCCCGTATGCTATGTACATCAGGTTAAATGTTCGTTTTTGAATGGGTCATGCCCAAACTTTTAGGGGCAGGTTTGAGGGCGTGACAAGTGGTATCAAAGCACGAGTTGCTATCTCACACATGCATCCATTGAGCTTGAGTGTATCTAGAAAAGATTTAGGCATCATGCATGACACCCTGAAAGTATAGAAGATATCGATGGCAACGTTATAAGAACTCTGGTAATGCTAACAATTTGAAATTATGTCTATTGTATATAATTGATTGTTGTGTAGGCTATGGTGAGGACAATGACAGAAGATGCGAAAGATGCTACTTCTACACGGTTGGATAGGATGGAAAGAATGATTATGGAAAGGGCGGAAACCCTACGACAACAACAGCGACAGCCACCACCGCCACTGGTACCTCCACCGGCAGTACAAGATTTCCATGCTGAAGACCGGACCATTACCCTTACTAAGGAGTTTAAAAAGATGAAACTGCTATCCTTCAAGCGAGGAATAGAACCAATGAAAGCTAAGGCGTGGGCGTTAGGGATAGAGAAATTATTTGTAGTTTTTCCATGCACCGAAGGTCAAAAGGTGCAACTGGCTGCCTTCACTTTTGAACATGAGGCACGGGGATGGTGGATGCTTACGAGAACTATACATCAAGGATTGACATGGGACAGGTTCTTGGAATTGCTTTATGATAAATATTTCCCTCAAAGTATGCGAGATAAGAAGGTGACTGAATTTGAAACTCTCAGACAAGGGAACAAGACTGATGCTGAATATGAAGCTCAATTTGCGGAGCTAGCCCGGTTCGTGCCTCTTATGGTTGACACGGATTACAAGAAAGCACGGAAATTTGAAGAGGGATTACGGGGTGCTATTCTGGATTGAGTCAATATGTTGAAGTTGCCTACCTATGTAGATGTGTTGGAGGGGGTCGTCATAGCGGAAGGAAATATTGCTACACAAAATCGAATTTCTGAATGGAAGGGGAAAAGACAAAACAGCCAATGGTCGAAGGGGTTAACTACTCCACCAAACAAGAAGCAAAATTCAGGGACTTCAAATGCGTCTACCCGTAGCCAGGATCCAATAACCCGACCCTTGTACATGTTTTCTGATATATTTTCAGACCCTATTTAGTGTTTTTGAATGGTTATTATGAATTTCTATGAGAAATTAAGGTTAAGTAGGGGAACTCCATGTTTAGGGATGCCTATCTGTTTGACAAGAAAAGTATTTGTCACATCTATAAGTTAGAAGCAGAAATTGGGAGCCTTGGGGGCTTAATTATCTGAAATTGATTTAATATATGTGATCAGCATAATTTTTAGGTAATATTAAGCGTTTCTGTGAAATTTCAATTTCAGATGTTTAAACGATTGATTTTCGTCTTTATTCACTACTGGTATATGTATGTCTATAAAAGCCTCTTTGAACTTAAGACTTAGGAACTTTCTTATAACATATTCCCTGGGAGAAAAGTGAAGAGAGGCTAAGAACAAGGAAGAGTTTAGAGAGATTGAAGCTAAGGTAAGTTTAATTTCCCAAGTCCAATCCTCTTTCTCAATTTGAAATAGGAAGCTCTTAATGTTGTATAATCTAGAGTGGAATGAAAGTCTTGGATGTGTGTGTGTTAAAGACATGGTATGATAATCCTATCATTTCTGTATTTTGAATCCAATTCAAGTGATCTAGTGAGAGCATCATCTTGTCTCTTTACTTATCAAATTGGTATTCATGCTTATGCCATGTTTTTTTATATCTATGTTATGTATATGTAAAGTTAAGAGCCTCAAGAATGAGATTATGTTGATGAGCTTCAACTTTTGTTCAAACTAATTCAGTTGTGTTCATGGGTCTAATTCAGGATTAGATTGTTGTATGTTGTACTTTGAATTATATGCTTTTTGAACCATGATTTAGCAATGAAAAGATCCATCATAGAGCCTTACAAACACTCCCAAAAGAATGAGGTTTGCTGCAATTTTCGGACTGAAACAGGGCAATCGTCGCACCTCTGGGAGTCACCGCTGCATGTGCGGCAAATGCTGAATTTTGAGGGTTTGGTTCTGCTTAAGAGGCACGTGTGGGAGAATTTTGCCGCACGTGCGGGGGAGTTTGCCGCGCATGCGGGGCTCACAGCCGCACGTGCGGCCCTTGCTGAAAAACATGGGTTGCTCCGTTTTGCGTATAGGAACCTCTAATATTGTCAAAATATATATTTGATGCCTTTTCAATATGTATTAATTCCTTTGAAGTAAAGCGAAACAGGAAGTAATTTGATATGAAAGCTTAACTAAATTGTAAGTTTTGAATGTATGCAGGGCACACCCCTGGAGGAACAAGCACGTCATCACAACACTGTGAGTAGTAGTATGCTTCACGTATAGATAATGAATTAGCATTCTATTAACGCATGACTATTATGTATGTAACTGTATGAATGAAGTCAAGCATGAAAAGAAATAAAGAAAAGATTGAAATACTTTCACATGACTCTAAGTGTTTGTAAGACTCGAGGCCTATGGCCATTCCGTATAAGTTGTTATGACATGAAACAAAGTGCTACACGGAACTAAGTGCTACGAAGTGAGTCACCTCTAGAATCCGTGTGAGACACCTCTTCAGTTCATACAAGCATGTTCAAGGGCTTAATGCCAAATGATTCAAGGGCTTAATGCCAACTTATCCAAGGGCCTCGTGCCACTATGTACATGGGCTTAATGCCAACTTATCCAAGGGCCTCGTGCCACTATGTTCAAGGGCATAACGCCACCATGTTTAAGGGCTTTGTGCCACTACGTTTAAAGGCTTATAGCCATCATGTCTCAAGATACTATGTTTCAAGCCATTACGTTTCAAGAATGGGCCTAAGGCCGTTATGAAATTAGTACAGAATCAGACTAACTATGTGTGCATCTTCGGACGCTTTGATGTATTATATTTCAAGTTAAGCATCATTTTATTTAAGTATTGCTATTCCCTGAGTCTGGCTTACTCTGTGTTATGTCTGTTTCTGTAGGTAACCAACCAGGTGGTCAGTCCTTGCCATGACACCCGTTTTCTTTTGTCAACCTTCGTGTGTCCAGGCATTTTACAAGGCTACTTATCTTGTGAAGTTCGTTAGGATGATTGGCCTACTTTTTGATTGCCTATCTAAGGTTGAATGTATATAACTTCAATGGTTTTTGTATATGCCTAATTATAGGGCTGGGACTGTATATGTGTTTGTATAACCGATGCTCCATGATATAGTTTGGGACTTTATCTATCTACTATGATGCATGTGTTGTATGAGATCCTGGCATATAGAAGTAGCTCAATGGAGTTTATATGTATCATTATTTTCATATTAGGTGCTTCCGATAAGGCCCCGTATGTTATGTACATCAAGTTAAATGTTCGTTTTTGAACGGGTCATGCCCAAACTTTTAGGGGCAGGTTCGAGGGCGTGACAAGTGGTATTAGAGCACGAGTTGCTATCTCACACACGGATCCATTGAGCTTTAGTGTGTCCAGAAAAGATTTAGGCATCATGCATGACACCCTGAAAGTATAGAAGAGATCGATGGCCACGTTATATGAACTCTGGTAATGCTAACAATTTGAAATTATGTCTATTGTATATAATTGATTGTTGTGTAGGCTATGGTGAGGACAAGGATAGAAGATGGGGAAGATGCTACTTCTGCACAGTTGGATATGATGGAAAGAATGATTATGGAAATGGCAGAAACCCTACGGCGACAACAGCAACAGCCTCAACAACAACCGCCACCGCCACCGCCACTGGTACCTCCACCGGCAATATAAGATTTCTATGTTGAAGACCGGACCATTACCCTTACTACGGAGTTTAAAAAGATGAAACCGCCATCCTTCAAGGGAGGAATTGAACCAATGAAAGCTGAGGCGTGGGTGTTAGGGATAGGGAAATTATTTGAATTTTTTCCATGCACCGAAGCTGAAAAGGTGCAACTGGCTTCCTTCACTCTTGAAGATAAGGCACGGAGATGGTGGATGCTTACGAGAACTATACATCAAGGATTGACATGGGACAGGTTCTTGGAATTGCTTTATGATAAATATTTCCCTCAAAGTATGCGAGATAAGAAGGTGACTGAATTTGAAACTCTCAGACAAGGGAACAAGACTGATGCTGAATATGAAGCTCAATTTGCGGAGCTAGCCCGGTTCGCGCCTCATATGCTAAACACGGATTATAAGAAAGCACGGAAATTTGAAGGGGGATTACGGGGTGCTATTCTGGACCGAGTCAATATGTTGATGTTTCCTACCTATGTGGATGTGTTGGAGAGGGCCGTCATAGCGGAAGGAAATATTGCTGCACAAAATCGAATTTCTGAATGGAAGGGGAAAAGACAAAGCAGCCAATGGTCGAAGGGGTCAACTAGTCCACCAAACAAGAAGCAAAATTCAGGGACTTCAAATGCGTCTACCCCTAGCCAGGATCCAATTCCCATATGTGTAGAGTGTGGAAAGAAGCATCGTGGAATATGCTACCATAAGTCTGGAGCCTGCTTTCAGTGTGGGAAAACGGGTCATGTGATAAGGGATTGCCCTCAGAGGAAGCAGCAAGAAAATGGCAACAGGACCACTACCAGTTCAGTGGGGTGTGCACCAACTACCAACACCAAGGCACCGGCCAAACCGACTAACAATAAAAATCTACTAACAATAAAGATACTGCAAGGCAAGGCAGGGTGTTTGCTTTGGTCCCGGGAGATGTACAAAATGCTGCAACGGTAGTGTCAGGTACATTTATGGTTCATGGTCATTCTGCTTGTGTATTATTTGATTCTGGCTCTACCCATTCTTTTCTGTCAAAACTATTTGCTCCTAATTTAGATAAATCTAAGGAAATATTATCCAAAATGTTATGTGTATCCTCACCTTTGGGGGATTCTATGACCTGTACCTCTATATATGTCCCTTGTGAACTCCACCTAGGAGATATTCGGGTATATGCTAACTTGTTACCTCTCGACGTGACGCATTTTGATATTGTTCTGGGAATGGACTGGTTGAGTGAATATGGTGCAACTATAGACTGTCTGACTAAGCAAATTAGTTTTCACCCTCCGGGTCAATCGTAATTTATCTTTCAGGGTCAGGAAGTAACTTCTCCACCTTATTTGATCTCGGTAGCAAAGGCTTGTAAATTAATTCAGAAAGGGTGTCAGGGGTATTTATGCAGCGTTTTGGAGGAGCAAGTGGGGAGCGGGAATATCGACATGATCCCAGTCGTCTGTGAATTTCCAGATGTTTTTCCAGAGGAGTTACCAGGGCAGTTAATAGACCGTGAAATTGAGTTTACAATTGACGTAGCACCGGGAACTCAACCCATTTCTAAGACTCCCTATAGAATGTCACCAGTTGAGATGAAGGAATTAAAAATTCAGTTGCAAGATTTACTGGACAAAGGATTCATCCATCCAAGTGTGTCTCCGTGGGGTGCACCAGCTTTGTTTGTGAAAAAGAAGGATGGAACACTCCGGCTTTGTATCGATTACAGAGAACTTAATAAGGTAACAATCAAGAATAAGTACCTGTTGCCAAGGATCAACGATTTATTTGACCAGCTTCAAGGGGCACAAGTCTTTTCTAAAATCGATTTACGGTCCGGATGCCATCAATTAAAGGTCAAAGATGATGATGTCGAGAAGACAGCTTTTCGAACCTGATATGGCCATTATGAATTTCTGGTTATGCCCTTTGGAGTGACTAACGCCCCAGCAGCATTTATGGATTTAATGAACAACGTCTTTAAGCCCTATTTGGATGAATTTGTGGTGGTCTTTATTGATGATATTCTCATTTATTCGAAGAATGTAGAAGCTCACGAGAATCATCTTCGCTTGATTCTTCGAACCCTTCGGGAAAAGAAACTATATGCAAAGTTGAAGAAATGTGAATTTTGGCTACTAAAGGTGGCATTTCTGGGGCATGTTATCACAAAGGATTGCGTTGCTGTTGATCCACACAAGATTGAGGCGATTGTAAATTGGCCACCTCCCACTAATGTGACTGAAGTACGTAGTTTTATGGGGTTTGCTGGATACTACAGACGGTTTGTTCAAGATTTTTCCAAAATTGCGGAGCCGCTTACCCAACTGACCTGAAAGGGAGTTGCATTTGAATGCTCAGAAGAGCGGAAATCTGCTTTCTAGGAATTGAAGACAAAGTTGACAACAGCACTAGTTTTGGCCTTACCATGCGGTACTGAAGGATTTGTAATCTACAGTGATGCTTCGCACAATGGGCTTGGTTGTGTACTTATGCAAAATGGAAGAGTTATCGCTTATGCTTGTCGACAGTTGAAACGCCACGAGAAAAATTATCCCACGCATGATCTTGAGCTAGCAGCTGTAGTCTTTGCTTTGAAGACATGGAGACACTATTTGTATGGCACTACTTGCGAAGTGTACACCGACCATAAGAGTCTCAAGTATCTTTTTACTCAGAAAGAGTTGAATATGCAGCAACAACGGTGGTTGGAACTTATTGAAGATTATGATTTGCAGATCCATTACCATCCCGGCAAAGCCAACACAGTTGCGGATGCGTTTAATCGAAAAAGTATGGGGACTCTAACAAATTTGGTTACCGGGCAAAAGAAATTAGCAGATGAATTGGCTAAAATAGAAGTGGACCATGAATTACATGGCAGGAAGCTTTAATGGCAGCGGTGATGGCCCAACCAACCTTACTTGAGGAAATTAAATTGCGTCAGATGGAAGATGAAACTCTAAGGAAGATATGTGATGAGTTAAGAACCAGGTCGAAATCGGGATTTAGTTTGGTAGATTCGGTGCTCAAATTTCAAAACCGAGTATATGTTTCCAATGTGTTGAATCTTAGCAAAAACTGATGGAAGAAGCGCATGCCTCAAGATTTTGAATGCATCCAGGTAGTACCAAAATGTATCGAGATTTAAAACAAATTTTTTGGTGGCCAAGTATGAAAAAGGAGATCGCAGAGTTCGTCTCTAAATGTTTGCAATGCCAACAAGTAAAAGCGGAGCATCAGGGGCCAGCAAGGTTATTACAGCCCCTTCCAATTCCAGTGTGGAAGTGGGAACATTTGACCATGGATTTCGTTTGGGATTACCATGGACTCCTCGAGGTATGAATTCAATATGGGTCATTGTTGACCGATTAACTAAGTCCGCCCACTTCCTACCCATGAAGACTCAATATAATGCAGATAAATTGGCGGTGCTTTATGTTAATGAAATTGTAAGGCTTTATGGTGTTCCAGTCTCAATTGTATCAGACAGGGATCCGAAGTTTGTTTCCAGATTTTGGAAAAGTTTACAAGAAGCCATGGGTACAGAATTAAAGTACAGCACAACTTTCCATCCTCAGACTGACGGTCAATCCGAGAGGACGATACAAACGTTGGAAGATATGCTCCGAATGTGTGTTTTAGATTTTCAAGAAAGTTGGGAAACCTATCTACCGTTGGTAGAGTTCGCATACAACAATAGTTACCACTCAAGTATTGAAATGGCACCCTATGAAGCTCTATATGGAAGACCGTGTCGTTCTCCCGTGTGTTGGGCTGAAGTTAGGGAGAAATCCTTACTCGGACATGAAATTGTTTAGTTGACGACTAAAAAGGCTAAACTTATTCGGGAAAGATTGAAAACTGCACAAAGTGGACAGAAGAGTTATGCAGATAACCGATGGAGGGATTTGGAATTTGAAGTCGATGGTCATGTCTTTGTGAAGGTCACTCCGATGAAAGGACAACCAAGATTCGAAAAAAGGGGTAAGTTAACACCCCGTTATGTTGGTCCCTTCCAAATTCTGGAAAGAGTGGGTCTAGTAGCTTACCGGGTTGCCCTTCCACCACATATGGGTCAAGTACATAATATGTTTCATGTCTCTATGCTTCAAGGGTATCTTGCGGATCCATCTCATGTTATTGATTATCACCAAATTGAGCTAGATGACAAGTTAACTTATGAGGAAAAACCAATTCGAATTCTGGACCGGCAAGTGAAACAATTGCGAAACCGAGAAATTCCAATGGTAAAAATGAAATGGCAAGAACATTATGGAACCGACGCAACTTGGGAAAGAGAGGAGGAAATGCAACACCAGTATCCGCATTTGTTTCTACCCTAAGGTAAAACAAGTTTGAGGGACCAAACTTGTTTAAGGAGGGGAGAGTGTAATAACCCGACCCTCGTACATGTTTTCTGATATATTTTCAGACCCTATTTAGTGTTTTTGAATGGTTATTGTGAATTTCTATGAGAAATTAAGGTTAAGTAGGGGAACTCCATGTTTAGGGATGCCTATCTATTTGACAAGAAAAGTATTTGTCACATCTATAAGTTAGAAGCAGAAATTGGGAGCCTTGGGGGCTTAATTATCTGAAATTGATTTTATATATGTGACCAACATAATTTTTAGGTAATATTAAGCGTTTCTGTGAAATTTCAATTTCAGATGTTTAAACGATTGATTTTCGTCATTATTTACTATTGGTATATGTATGTCTATAAATGCCTCTTTGGACTTAAGACTTAGGAACTTTCTTATAACATATTCCCTGGGAGAAAAGTGAAGAGAGGCTAAGAACAAGGAAGAGTTTAGAGAGATTGAAGCTAAGGTAAGTTTAATTTCCCAAGTCCAATCCTCTTTCTCAATTTGAAAAAGGAAGCTCTTAATGTTGTATAATCTAGAGTGGAATGAAAGTCTTGGATGTGTGTGTGTTAAAGACTTGGTATGATAATCCTATCATTTGTGTATTTTGAATCCAATTCAAGTGATCTAGTGAGAGCATCATCTTGGCTCTTTACTTATCAAATTGGTATTCATGCTTATGCCATATTTTTGTATATCTATGTTATGTATATGTAAAGTTAAGAGCCTCAAGAATGAGATTATGTTGATGAGCTTCAACTTTTGTTCAAACTAATTGAGTTGTGTTCATGGGTCTAATTCAGGATTAGATTGTTGTATGTTGTACTTTGAATTATATGCTTTTTGAACCATGATTTAGCAATGAAAAGATCCATCTTAGAGCCTTACAAACACTCCCAAAAGAATGAGGTTTGCTGCAATTTTCGGACTGAAACAGGGCAATCGTCGCACGTCAGGGAGTCACTGCTGCACGTGCGGCAAATGCTGAATTTTGAGGGTTTGGTTCTGCTTAAGAGGCACGTGTGGGGGAATTTTACCGCACGTGCGGGGGAGTTTGCCGCGCATGCGGGGCTCACAGTGGCACGTGCGGCCCATGCTGAAAAACATGGGTTGCTCCGTTTTGCATGTAGGACCCTCTAATATTGTCGAAATATATATTTGATGCCTTTTTGATATGTATTAATTCCTTTGAAGTAAAGCGAAACAGGAAGTAATTTGATATGAAAGCTGAACTAAATTGTAGGTTTTGAATGTATGCAGGGCACACCCCGGGAGGAACAAGCACGTCATCACAACACTATGAGTAGTAGTATGCTTCACGTATAGATAATGAATTAGCATTCTATTAACGCATGACTATTATGTATGTAACTGTATGAATGAAGTCAAGCATGAAAAGTGAAGTCAAGCATGAAAAGAAATAAAGGAAAGATTGAAATACTTTCACATGACTCTAAGTGTTTGTAAGACTCGAGGCCTATGGCCATTCCGTATAAGTTGTTATGATATGAAACAAAGTGCTACACGGAACTAAGTGCTACGAAGTGAGTCACCTCTAGAATCCGTGTGAGACACCTCTTCAGTTCATACAAGCATGTTCAAGGGCTTAATGCCAACTTATCCAAGGGCCTCGTGCCACTATGTACAAGGGCTTAATGCCAACTTATCCAAGGGCCTCGTGCCACTATGTTCAAGGGCTTAACGCCACCATGTTTAAGGGCTTTGTGCCACTACGTTTAAAGGCTTATAGCCATCATGTCTCACGATACTATGTTTCAAGCCATTACGTTTCAAGAATGGGCCTAAGGCCGTTATGAAATTAGTACAGAATTAGACTAACTATGTGTGCATCTTCGGACGCTTTGATGTATTATATTTCAAGTTAAGCATCGTTTTATTTAAGTATTGCTATTCACTGAGTCTGGCTTACTCTGTGTTATGTCTGTTTCGGTAGGTAACCAACCAGGTGGTCAGTTCTAGCCATGACACCCGTTTTCTTTTGTCAACCTTCGTGTGTCCAGGCATTTTACAAGGCTACTTATTTTGTGAAGTTCGTTAGGATGATTGGCCTACTTTTTGATTGCCTATCTAAGGTTGAATGTATATAACTTCAATGGTTTTTGTATATGCCCAATTATAGGGCTGGGACTGTATATGTGTTTGTATAACCGATGCTCCGTGATATAGTTTGGGACTTTATCTATCTACTATGATGCATGTGTTGTATGAGATCCTGGCATGTAGAAGTAGCTCAATGGAGTTTATATGTATCATTATTTTCATATTAGGTGCTTCCGATAAGGCCCCGTATGTTATGTACATCAGGTTAAATGTTTGTTTTTGAACGGGTCATGCCCAAACTTTTAGGGGCAGGTTTGAGGGCGTGACAAGTGGTATTAGAGCACGAGTTGCTATCTCACACACGGATCCATTGAGCTTTAGTGTGTCCAGAAAAGATTTAGATATCATGCATGACACCCTGAAAGTATAGAAGAGATCGATGGCCACATTATATGAACTCTGGTAATGCTAACAATTTGAAATTATGTCTATTGTATATAATTGATTGTTGTGTAGGCTATGGTGAGGACAAGGACAGAAGATGCGGAAGACGCTACTTCTGCATGGTTGGATATGATGGAAAGAATGATTATGAAAATGGCAGAAACCATACGGCGACAACAGCAACAACCTCAACAACAACCGCCACCGCCACCGGCACTGGTACCTCCACCGGCAATATATGATTTCCATGCTGAAGACCGGACCATTACCCTTACTAAGGAGTTTAAAAAGATGAAACCACCATCCTTCAAGGGAGGAATAGAACTAATGAAAGCTGAGGCGTGGGTGTTAGGGATAGAGAAATTATTTGAAATTTTTCCTTGCACCGAAGGTCAAAAGGTGCAACTGGCTTCCTTCACTCTTGAAGATAAGGCACGGAGATGGTGGATGCTTACGAGAAC